CAAGTTAATTTTACGTGTTTAACCAGAGAAAGATAGAGAGAAATCATGAGACAATTTTGTACAGAGATCAATAGGGAATCAAATGGCTGTCGCCTCCTGTAATGACTAATGGCAGCATCTCGAGATCTCATGTCGGCCTATGTAAAAATTTCAAGGTGACACATAAAAACTCAGACAAAGCACATGGGCATTGGAATTTAAAACTCCACAATTGCAGACGAATTAAACAAAAACAGAGAACATAATATTAGAGACCATATTGATAAGATTATGTGCACCAAAAAATATTGATAAGATTATGATTTTAGGCTCATAATCTTGCTGCTCAGCTATGATTGGGCTGAGACCTTGTCTGTTAATTACAGACACAGCAAACACCCATACTCATAAGATTCTAATGTTAGAAACATTAATTCCCTTGTAAGAAGCATGATCATAGCAAAATCAATCAAATGTATACACAAAAATATTGTATTTCTCCTTTATACTTGATCAACAGTACAACACATTTGAGTCAAGATCACCTTCAACTTTTAATAACAAAAATCTTATCAGAGAAAGAGGGGAGAGAGAAGAGAGACTCGCATTCTCTCACATGGGAAAATGCCTCTGGTTTTGGTGATGGTAATGAGGGACAAACAAAGGGGCCTCTGGTTTTGAGAAACCCTCGTGGACATTTTTGTATTTGTCGGATTTTATAAGCGAAATACTCAAAGAGGTGATAAGGGAGAGCGCGGAATAATAACATTCATGACCAGTCTTTGGCTTCTCTTTTGTTACTACGTACAAGTGGATAGTGACCATTACTGTTTTTAGTGTTACAATATGTCCTACAAGCCACCCAACACTTAGATCATCCATTTCATCCATTTTCTTGGTTCTGGGATTGATGTTATATACATCGTTGTTGTGAAAAGCATTTTATGTGCGAAAGGGATACTACATATGTATAGACCTCATCCTTTCGCGTACTACATTGAAACTCAGTTGTTACGTTTTCCTTTTCATTCACTGCTTTTTCTAGTTTTATTTTTTTCTTAGTGCAGTCCAGTTCTTTTTTTTTTTTTCTTCTTCTTCTTCTTTTTGGTCCCCCTTTGGCTTGAGATCAGGAGATGGATCATGGGGTGGCAATCTCAAAACCCACTTTTGCCCGTACTTAATGCATTTTTTGGATTGTACTGTTCCCTGTTTTGGTTTTTTTTAGTTCCATTATTATTATTTTCTTTTTTTATTCACCAGGTTCACACAAATCAATTATAATTTAGGATGCTGATTGGTGCACACCCGGTGTTGACCCGGGTGTGCACCCCCACATAGAAAAAAAAAAAAGGATCGAGTGGAGTTGGGTTGTTTTTTTTTTCAATGGGGGAGTGTGCACACCCGGGTGTTGGGTCAACATATCTTTATCCTTATAATTTAATATCACTATAGCATCTTTAATGAAATTTCTCTGCTTGCTAACTCATTACTGATATTTTGATAAGTTTATTATTGGATTACAACTTTTTTCTAAATGTAGATTGGAAAACCAAATCCTATATTGTATATATGTCTCATAAAATTTTTTATTAATGATTTTTTTTTGTTCAATAAAATAATTCAATTAATTAAAAATTTTAAATTTTAAATTAAAAATCATATATTCAAATTTTGAGTCAAATAAAAAAAAAACAACTTCTTCTCATATAATTTATTATTAAATATACTAATTATATATAAATGCACCATAAATTATTACTTCTCGATATGTAATTCAAGCATAAAAAGAATAAATTTCTAGGTGGTGGACAAAAGCGTCGATTAGTGGAAGCTGAGTTGAAGTCACTGAGGTTCTTAAAGTGGGGATGCAGATAATACTCTGGCTGTGGGAAACGACAGTCCAATTCTATACAAAAGCAAAAGCAAAATATAGAGTAGGGCAGCAGCAGGGGTCTATAGCTACGCACCATTTCCTTGTCGAGGAGAAAATTTCTTTAGTCTGCATAGATTCCCTAAGATAAGGTAATGTCCCAATTGATTGTTTTATGCACCTTGTACTAATAGTGGACCCTTTACTTGCCTATTAAGATGACTTCTCAAAATTGCAAATCATGGACGTAGTTATCAACATAAATAATTGTTACAGTCACACAAAATGTTATAAGTGTGTTTGATTTATTTTAATTTAACAGTTTGATTTAAAAAATAAATTATTTGTTTTTATGAAAATTTATTAAAATGGCATAATTAAAATAATTTTGGTCAATACATTAAATTAATTTTCATCTCAATCAATATTTTTTATTATTTAAAACCTGTGAAAAACTCAAAAATTTACAATCAAATCCTTTATTTACACTTTAATTTTGTGATTAAACCCCTTATTTGCATTATAATTTTGTTTGTAATTTAAAATTTTTTATAAATTTTAAATTATGTAAAGTGTTAACTAAAAAAAAAAAGAGTTTAAAATGTTACTGCAAAAAGAAAATAATTGTGTAGGTTGTAGATATGGATTCGGCCTATATAGGACAACATGACAAACAAAACATTTATGCCAACTACTTACCCCACTATATATTCCTATAGCTCAAACTCATTGCCTATTTTGTTAAAAAACAATATATTACTACTAAATTAGTTGAAAACGAGAAAATCATAACGTTTTTTTTTTTTGAACATATTTGCAAGGGGCGGGTTTCGAACCCAGCCCGGAAAAAGGGGAATGTACCGGGATGGCTATTGCCACTAGGCCGCAAAAGCCAAGTGCAAGAAAATCATAACATTTTGATTGTAAAAATATTAAAATATTTAATAATAATTATATGATAAATTTAATTAATAATTAATACGTACAGCTTATTTCTATAAATGGTTGTAAATGTCAAAGTCAAACGAGCCCTCGAGGGTGCTAAGAGCCATAGAAGGCCTGTGTATAAGTTCTCTTGCATTCAGAAAGCCTATATCAAAGGAAAATGCTACTAACATGGCAGGCACACATAGACTCGACAAAGAAATCATGTCATTCAACGATAACCACTGTAAGTCGGCAACTGATGATAATAAGTTAAAAATTTTAAATTTTAATTTTAAAACAAAGAAAAAGAGATAAAAATGAAAAAATTAATAATTTATTGATTTAAATGAAAGAAATTTGATTATCTTTAAATCAAATTTTAAGTTTAAATATTATAAATGAAAAAATAAGTATTAAGAGAGTTTTTTCTATAAAATTTGACACGACTCAATTTTGAATTAATCAATATCTAATATAACTTCCGAATACTGAGAAGTTAGTAAAAAAAAAAAAAGGATTTTCCCCTATTTGTATTACTAAATTCATAAGATTGTGTTATCCCAAAAAAAAAAAAAAAAGACTCCATTTAGGATGATTATTGTTTTTTATTTTTAGTTTTAACTATCAAAATTTAAACAATTAAAATTAAAAATTAAAAATACCAAATTATTGAGTATAAATTTTGTATACCCAAATTTAACAGATGGCATAAAAAAAAAAATAATCCAATGACTAACAAACAGATAACTTATAATTGGTGAGCTTTTCCCTTTTTGTGCATGATTTATGTTTCATTGTTAATGGATGAACTATTTACACATTTTTTGTACTAATAAAATAATGATAGATATTGAGACGGATGAATTTAAACTTGAAATATCTTAAGATGGAGTATGTATGCACCCAAAAAAAAAAAAAGAGGTGAATAAAAAATAGATTAGCCAGAGCCCATTCGTCTGGGTTCCTGGCCAGCAGACCTTTTAAACTTGGCCCTTAGGGGGGAAATTTGATATTTGTCCGGGCACATAAATAAAATAGACCCAATTTCAGTGTTCTAAGCCCAAATTGACCCATTTTAAATGTGATCAAACGACTCGAACGTATTTTGAAGCCCATTTTTAAACTCTGTAATTGTGTTGAGGAATTGACTTCATTTAATTAAATTTTGTTTTTAATGGAGTAAAATTCAATTGGAACCAAGAGATTTCACATAAGAAAAGATTTAGCCATTTAGGATTCGCGCTATCAACATTTCTAATTTTCTTAAGATAAGATATAGATTTTTTATTAAAAAAATATTAAATTGAATTTTAGTATCTCAATTTTAGGCTTTTACATAGTTTTTATCCATTAGCTATTTGAAGTATTTTTTTAGCCTTTCACCTTTAAAAAATGTACTTTTTTTCATTCTTCCGTAAATTAATTTGTTAAGTCTATTTATATATATAACTAAAAATATATATATTATAAGTTTTAAGACTAAAATCATATAAATTGAAACAAATTTAATAGATTAATGAACGAACAAAAAAAAATACAATTTTCAAAATTAAGGATGAAAAAAATAAAAATAAAATTAAGGAATGAAAACTATGGAAAAGTATAAAATTAAATTTTTTTTGGTGGTAAGCCTTAAAAAAATTGAATATTTGATATAACTGGCTTTCCCACCACCGTGAAAGAGTTGTTTTATAATGGGTAGAGTGCAATTTATTAAAAAATAAAAAAGAAAAGAAAAGAAAGAATGAAGGACTAGCTTCATTCTAGTACTTGTTTTATAGGAGCTCCATTCTAGTACTCACACAAAACATACCAGAATAACAATTTTCCTGTTTTCACAGGATTTTTGTGCTGTCCAAATTAAAAATAACATATACATAGATCACATCCATTTACCCTAATCTTACGATAATCTGTCCAATTAATACTAATTGGGGATACCAGCTGCAAGCTTTGCTCTTAGGTCCTTTCGCAAAATTTTGCCTGAGGTAGCCTTCGGAATTGCATCCGTGAAGAAAACCCGATTTAATCTCTTATAAAAAACCACCTTCAACCAAAGAACAAAAAAGGAAAAAAAAAATCAATATTATTAATTAAGTTAAACACCATTGAAATAAAAAAAGCTTCTTCTTTATGGATGAACTGTGATATATTTCTAGCGACAAAAATCAACATTTAGCTCATCACCTTATAACATGACAGTTTTGACCATTTATTTTATAAAGTTGATAATTTTAATCCCTCACCTTATAAAGTTGATAGATTTTAACTTTTTACATTATATTATGATATTTTTAGCACCTCACTAATACGAATTAAAGAAAATAACACTCACATAATATCAAGTTATAACGTTCTGTTAGTTGACTGTTAACATCTGTTAATATTCCGTTATAAATTCAATGTTATTTGTTAGTTTCATTAACGAAATTCTAACGGATGCTAACAATTAGTTAATAGAACTAACGGTTAGCTAACAGAATTAATAAAATATTACAATATAATGTTAAATAAGAGCTATTTTCTTTAATTCATACAGATAATGGGTTAAAAGTACCATATAAAATGAAGGACTAAAATCTATCAATTTTGTAAGATAAATGATTAAAAATATTATATTATAAGATTAAGAGTTATAACTTATTAATTTTGTTAGATGAGAGGTTAAAAATTAATTTTAGCTTATTTCTAGCTTAGTAGCTCGAGTTAATAAAAAAATAAAAAAATAAAAAACACCTCGAGCTCATAAAACTAAAGACACGTTGACATGAGATGTTCAAGTATAATCGAAGTTCAAAATCACACCTCAGTATGAGACGTTGAAATGTCTTTAGTTTACTGAGGCATTTTCATGTCTCTTTATTGACCTTGGGATGAGATATTTCATCATATAGCAGAATTTCTCATGTATTGACATGTTGAAATGTCTTTAATTTACTGAGGCATTTTCATGTCTCTTTACTGACCTTGGGATGAGATATTTCGTCGTATAGCAGAATTTCTAATGAACACATGAGTTCAAAGAACTACGTTTCCCGTGCATCAAAAAAAGACAAAAAAGAACTACGTACAATTATTGAAGGTGCAAAGACATAGTGATGATTGAGTCTTACTTTTCGGTGCTAACTACCTGCATCATAAATGGTGCAGGTCTAACCACCTACTTTCATTTAATGATCTATTTCTCATTTGTAACCTAGGAATCATTTTTTACTTTATTTTTAATATTAGTGTAATGTGTATTAATTTAATTAAATATTGTTTTAAAATATTTTTTAATTAAAAATTTAGAAATAAATTTTGTAATTATTTATATTATTTTCAGAAAAAACTAAAAAAAATAAAGTAAAA